ATGATTGTACAAGCTCTTACTAATGAGCTATTCAATATCAAACGTGGGGGGCATTCTCTTCTCGTCGACACGCACCGTGTAATTTCAAGTGTAACCTTTTTCCCCAATAAGTTCCCGTCCCTTCTTTTTTTCGTACCTCATTTCCCGAGCGAAAAAAATCATTCGAGTTAGTAAAGCATCCACTTAATGGGTTTCTTCCCCGGAGGATATACTACCGCGAACATTGGATTCACGGTGAATCAGTTATTAATTTACTACACTACACGGAGGAAGGGGGGAAGGATAGAAAGCACATTGTGGATGTTTGTCAAACAATTCGAAGCACTCGAGGAATTTTCGAACACGTTCGCCAATCTACGAGACGATGGTTATGGGAGGTTGTATCCTCTCCGGTACAAGCAGAGAGCCGCGCCGTGAACATTTTCCTCGATGCTTCGGCAACTTTCAAAGATTATAACTCGAATGGAAGCGTTTACGAAACCCTACCGCTTATATCACGTTGTTCCGTTACAACTAAATAGACGTTACGCTGCTGGTAGCAAAGGCTGTGAAACCTTCCTCGTGGAACGCACACCAGCAGCCTGTGGAAGACGAAAGTTTTGCGACGTAGTGTAATCGCGATCAATTATCATCGAGCGGGGATTATACGGAAAGTTTTGACGAGAATCGATGAAATTCGATCAATGTTATTAATGGCTCGGATGGCTCTCGCTCTCCCTCTCTTCGTTGTAACTTCCTTTGTGACGCTGTTCAACCGTAGGAAATGAAATTCTCGCTGCGCGGAGTGTTTTGATTTTTGTTCTTGCGCGGCACGGTGCCGGTGCGCCGCGGCGTCAGCTTTATTCAGGGAACCCATTTCCGGCGCGGCGACGAATGTTCAACGTACAATAGGACACAATATCCTGGCCAAATTTTTCGGCATTATTGCGCTTTCAATATTGTCAAGCTTTTTCTCCTCCAATCCAAATTTAATCATTTCTACAGATTTACTCTGCCGACCGTGGTTTCGTTCGTTTTCTTTTTTTTGTCTCCTTCCTATTCAAAACGCTAGCGAGTTAGGCTAGAAGATGAATATCGGAATTATTAACGCAGTGCACCGAGCGGAACTCATTTGCATGGTGGATTTATGCAACAGGAACGAAAGTGATTTTTACTTAATGAAATGCATCTACGTTTGAAACTTAACGAGCTGTGCACCAGATCAAATTACCTGTACCTGGACAATTCAAACGATCTTCTATCACGTTCCTCGATGTTCTACTTATTTTCACCCGGAACACATTTTCTCGACATTAAGTCGCGCGTGGAAAGTTATTCTCTCTATTTGCCGGTTGGCTTCGGATGAAACTGAAAAGATGAACCATATACGTGTGTACGCGATATGATAAATTTCCAGGCTATTAATTCTCAGCTTTCTCTTATTATCAATCCTTCAACCCTGTCGACGAACAGATGGGAAAAACACCAGCGTGCAATTCGTCTGCTTACCGACGTTCTTACTCGCGGAACTTTTCCGCCTTCGCTCAACGGTTCATACGTTGGGTTTCTTCCATTTTTTTTTCTTTAGACGAAACACCAAGGAACGTACATACGCGCAGAGAGGCAGCTTCGCGTTTCTCCGAACTGTGCAATTCTCCACCTCTGTTACTCCCGTTACGGCCCTACCGGTTTCGCGAATCGCGAAGGCGTCATTAACAGATGAACGTAATTACAAAGCGTCACCCACGGCGTTGTTGCACAGCGTTATCTCCGGCTCTGGGCAATCGTGCGCGGATTTAATGTCTACGAGTCGAGTAGCTGCGGTTTCTGCATGTTTCGCGCCATTGATACACAGATATGCGTGTTACCGGGGCGAAATGGTTCCGTTGCAAAAAGTCGCTCGTTAAGGAATTTCGTCAGGCGAAATTGCGCCACGACGCGCTCCAACTGATGCACTTTCCACATAATGGGCTCGAGAAGTGTTTGCTCTCTGCCTCGGGTTTACGATTCCGAGCATGTAAGAGCGTGTAGTACTGGGAAAATGGTCTCGATCGATTAGCTTTTGGGGAAAGTTAACGGAAAAAGTACGTCGAGAAGAAAATGACCTAACCCGATAGAAACATCGATATCGTGTAAATTAGACGATTGAACAGAAGTGACTGTAAATTCAGCAACGAGAGTGTCGTTAACTTACTTCCACAAGCGAAATCTCTATTCGAAAAAAAAAAAAAAAAGAAATATGTTACATATTCTCGTGTGAAAATAGTTGGGAAAAAAGCCATCGATATTTCGTACTTCCTATACGAGACCCAGTTTCAAACTCGTCCTGTACTCTCTGTATTAACGCGAAAAATTCAATTCAGTTTATCAGCTAGCGTTATCGTCAGCGACACCGCTAGCCGGAGGGTGCATTTTCGCGTCGCGTCGCGACGAACAAACCGATAATTTCAACGCTAGCCAGCAACGAACGGGAGAGATTGCACAGTGCGCGTCGGTTCGACGATTTCCATCGTCGTCGCGCGTCGTTTCGACGGTCCATCATTCGTGTCCACGAGGTACCAGTGACGTTCGCCGTGGATTTTTACGATCCGGCATAGAAAACGCGAAGGAAATTGCCGGTCGTGTCGAAAGACGAAATTTTACGAGCGCGACAGGTTTTCATACTCGGGTACACGTTCTGTGCTTACCGTAAATCACCGTTCCATAACTTTCCAAAAGATATTCCACTGATACGCATTGCCGTGTGGAAGAACACTTGTAACCCATTAATGACCGACACGATTAGAGCGGCTGAATGTGTACACTTGTTTTACAGCGGCTTCCGGGAATTTCGTCTTGGCGAGTGAATTAACTACCGTCTAACGATGATCGCCTACAGTTGCGAAAAAGAAATGGCTAAAATATTGGCAATCGTTTCGACCTCTTGAGAAATATATGTACATGTTCGCGCGGAGTAGATTAATCAATCAGCGTCAGTTTTTTTACGGCTATGCGCACGGTTTAAGTAGGTACGGTTAAAAAGTTCTTCAAAGTTCCTCGTTCGAGAGAAACTCATTAATCGTATTGATATAGAGTGAAACGAGGCGTATGTTTCGTTTTATTGGAGCTCAAGTGCGTTTGGTCATCCTGTATAAACCACGTTCTAACTAAGATCCGAGAGGCGTGAGGTTTGGAGATGACGACCCATGGATTCCGTCCGACCCTTACGATCCATCTCGGTGGAAATTTCTCATCCAAGAATTTCGTAACAATGTCAGTAATATACGGCGGAGCACCGTCTTGCTGAAAGATGACATTATTATCTCTGGCAGTTTGGGGTACTGCAAACTGTACCAAGATGTCGAGACAGTTATGCGAAATTTCCGAAATAAGGTTCAATCACTTGCTCCTATACAAGAGTACGTCGTACGTTATCCTTAACATTATGTTGCAGGAGTCGGAGGAAAAGGGAGGAGAGCTTAGACGATAGAAATCGAACATGTGATCTGTAGAATTACGCTCTTTTATCAATCTTACTAAATATTGGTAAAAATCGTTTTTCGATGTCAAAATGTTCGATGAAAATTTAGAAAATTTTCAGAGTTGTCGTTTTTCTCGTAACAGTTCGAGTATGATAATTCTCTATACATAAATAGTACGGTATATTCGTTGAATTGTAACTGGCCTCACGTCAAACTGCCACGGACATACATGTTGGTTAAGGAACAGGAAGCTTTCCATATATCGGGGAATATCTTTTCCAGGCGGCATGCTCGGAAGTAGCAGATGTCGGCCATGCAGTTTTATGCTTCGATCAGATGCAGCATGGCCGCACACAACGGTGCACGTATATGACTGTGTGTGTGTGTCATCGGTTTTATTGAATTATTAATGTAAAGTCAGACATCTGCTCTATTTCGTGCGCGCTCCAACAACCGGACCGGTTAATAAAATTTCCTCGTCTCGTACCGATTTCATCGTAAAGCGATAATAGGGAACGATAAAGAAGTCCTCAGGATCTCCCGGTTCCCATTTTATCTCTCCCCTTTTGCCATCGTCTCTAATTTCTCTGTAGAGTAATTCACGGCGCACGAAATCGTTTTCAAATGCATTAAACTTTTGATTGAGTCCCGGAAACTCGATGTAAGATTCACGCCCACCGTCACTTCAAGCGTCGTCTTTTCTACCACTTCCACGAAATTAATTCGCCTGATTTCGACATCCCACCCAGTACATAATTACACTCTCTGTTTTGTTCAATCTAATCACGTTGTACTCTGTGTGTCGTGTACGAGTAATAAAGGGTGTCGGTAATTTAAGAGATATAGCGTTTACCAGGTGAGACGTTTAATCACCGACGCCAACCGAGATCGTTCCGCGCCATTTGTTGACGCCCGATTCAGGCTACTTACGGTATTCCCGCTAAATCGCTCGGATTACCGGAGAAAGGGAAATTAGTCGAGAGCTGTGCAAAGCATGCAGTTTATTTTATCGCCTTTTCATCGTCCGTCAATTGCACGAATTTTACAGCGAAATTACTTTAGTAATTCTTTTTTCTTCTCTCGAATCCCTTGAAGTTTCTTTTGATCGCAAATCCACTCTCTATCTCGAGAAACGTATACGCCTGGGGGAGGTAAGAGGAATTACGCGTATCGAGTGGATTACACGTGCCCGTGAAACGCGTTCTTCATATCGCAGGTAGAAGAAGCGGAGAGAACCGATGATGCAGTCCACGGCAGATGCAATTACCGCTTTTACGTCGCGGATGTAACTGACAGTCATATACCCCTGGTATAATGGTTAACAATGTTACTTAATTAACGTAGCTGTATTAAGGCAATTAAAGTGTCCGTAATATATTTAATTAGCGGGAAATTTTACACGACCAGCGATCGTAAAATTCAGAGCAGAAGCGCGCACGGCCATCGAGCGGGTAGAGAGATATAGGAATAATTTCTTTTTCGTAACGAAACATTCAACCTGGATCGATGTTCGAATTAGGGGTTGAAAATCCAGAGTGAAGCGGCATGTATACATCGGGGATGTGTAGCTCAACGGTGGTGACTCGGTGCGAGGAGGAGAAGAAGAAGGACGGGAGCGAGAGGACGGAGGAGAAAGACGTGGAACCGTTTCCGTTGGCGGGGAAACGAGCCCCGACTAGCCAACCGATAATATGGCGGAATGTGATTGGTATCATTGTGCTTCATTTCCTCGCCATTTACGGTTTCGCGAGCGGTTATCGGGACGCGAAGCTGTGGTCGTGGGTTTGGAGTAAGTACACATCGTGCTTCGTTTCAACTTCGTTCCGGAAATTTGCTTCCCTTTTTTTCTTCTTCTTCCTTTCTCTCGTCGTCTTTTCAAATTTCCTACCCTTCCCCTCCCCTTCTCCCACGTTCCCTTCCCCCCTCTTCTATTTTTATCTGTTCAGAATTTCAGATAGACCTTTTATCGGCTTTTCAAATATTTGCTAGCCACCGGATCGATTTTATCTCGCACACGGTCTTTCGTTTTACACGGGGTAGAACGAGATTTTAACACGTGAGCAACGACTTGTCGATAAACTTTCACACCTTTTATGTTACATCATCCCCCTCTATGAAGATATTACGTACGGAGTCGTGGCTGGTTTGGGAATAACGGCGGGGGCTCATCGACTCTGGGCGCATAAAAGTTATTCCGCCAAGATTCCCCTGCGAATATTTTTAGCTACCTTATATTGCATGGCTGGCCAGGTACGTACACACCCTTATTACACTACTGCCACTCTTACGTGTCTCTCCGTGCGTTAGGTGTGTGTGTAACATCGACGCGGGGGGAGATGTATATATGTATTCTATTAACAGAGGTATGTGTGTGTGTGTGTGTGTCTGATTCGATTAGACGCATTTTTACAAATGGATACGAGATCACAGGACGCATCACAGATACACGGAAACATGCGCGGATCCCCACGACGCGACTCGTGGATTTTTCTTCTCTCATATTGGCTGGCTGATGGTTAAACGGCACCCGGCCGTGAAGGAATACGGTAGTAAAATCGATATGAGCGACATCGCTGCGGATCCTGTAATAAAATTCTTCGACAAGTAAGATATTTCCATCAAGCGTTCAACGACTTTCTTCTATGTACAGTGGAACCGCTTATAGCCACAAGTATATGTGTGCGTGTGTAGAGGGGGTCATTTAGTTATATTAGTTACCCTTTCTAACGGATCAATAAAATTTCTAACTCTTTTTTTTTTTTCGTAATTTTACGGCCACACTTTCGTCAGACGTTGTTGCGTCACAGTTGCTGGCAAGTGGCAAATGCACTGCAACGTGATTGCATTGTTACGACGAATTTGCCAATTCTGGAAAGTTCGATTGTACTTAGTTCTGTTTGCACACTCGTGAATTTGCCAAATGTTTGGAATCACTGTGCATGGTAAGTTATTCAAAAATTTCCAGAAAAAAGTTAGCAATTTTAAGAATTTTTTGACGAACTGTTTCGTCATTCAAATTAATCGAAGTGAGGTCAAGTGCTATTGGTTTCCACAACATCAATTTCAGGTTTATAAAGAATTAATAGCAAATTCAAGATTGATGTAAATTAACAGATGATTCCAAACTTTTGGCCGGTAGTGTAGTTCAGCAAACAGTTTTGTTCGATCACTCTGATTCGAGCATACCCCAGATAGCGCGTGACGTCTATTAGAGATATCCATTTCGGTCTGACCGTCTTTTGACCTGATCTCGAAGACGTACGAAAATTAATTTTTGAAATCAGAGTATGGTGCTTCGAAGAGATCTTCGACGCCTTGAGGACATCTTTAGGCTTTTACCTGGCATTTATTTTTTAAGTAACTTTTGCTGTTGTCAAATTTATCTTCCCTCCACATCACATTGAAAGTTTATCAGGTGACAAGAATTGTCACACTTTGGGTGAAAAAGGACCCAAGAACGCAGAAGAGTTAAGACATACACAAGACGTCTGTGCACAGTCTGGGTCCACTCTAAAATGATCACGCATCTTGCAATAACTTGGTCGAAGTCAACAATCTCGAGCAACCGCTCTCCCCGGACATTATCCAGAGATATTTACCCCGAGCAATTTATTTACCCCGTCCAATTTCGTTAACCATATCCAACAAATTCTTCCGTTATTCGTGTTAATTAACAACACCAATATCTCTCTCGAAAATTCCAATAAAGTTACACTATAACGAAATACTCCCCGGAGAGGATATAACTCGGAAATGAAAGCCCTCAAAGCCAAGTCCGCTACTGGAGGCTGGCTCGTAAAAGCTTCCCAAGATCTCCTTTCGCGTTAAAACAACGTGTATTTACGTTTTGTCGGTCGACAGAGAGAGAGAGAGGGAGGATGGCTGCAGTCAAAGCGTGGAACGCGCTCATTTGCACATTTTGGTGTCTCGTTGCAGGTATTACGAGATCATTATGGTCTCCCTGTGCTTCGTTCTGCCGATATTGTTGCCGGTGCACGCGTGGGGCGAGACTTGGTTCATAAGCGTTCACGCGGCATTCATCCGCTACGTCTGGTCGTTGCATGCCACTTTTATCGTGAACAGTATCGCTCACATGTGGGGAAATCGACCGTACAACAGGCAAGTTTTCGGGCCGGTTTTACCGATCGAAACACAGGCCACGCCACGGGATAATTAAAACTCGGAACGAGAGAGAGAGGTCGTTTTTCAAGCGCGATTTAACCTCGTTTCCGTTCTGGTCGCAGGAGGGTCAAGCCGACGGAGAACCCGGCCGTGTCTTTCTTCGCACTGGGTGAAGGTTGGCATAATTATCATCATTCTTTCCCCTGGGATTACAAGGCTGCCGAGTTGGGCGCGTACGGCTTGAATGCAACCACCGGTTTCATAGAACTGATGCAGTATCTAGGATTGGCTTACGATCTGAGAACACCTAGGAAGGAGCTGGTCGATCGAACAACCGTAAACAAAGGAGATGGTACCGATAGTCTATGGGGCTCCAGAAGACACTGAAGATGTACGGAGGACACGGATTTTGGGATTACTTCGTAGCGGAGGCTTTAAAGATATTATCATTTTTTTTTTCTCTTCGTTATTATGTCACTTTTATCGTATACGTGAGTGGGAAAATGAAAATAGTGGACTCCACGAAATTGTACCAAAGAAAAAAAGAGAAGGATTAGCTGGGTAGCGTTGTATCGTTTAAAGAAAAAGAGGGATAGTGAAAATATATATATATATACAGGGTGGTCCACGCAACGTGTGCACCGTTATAACTTCCAAAATATGCGTTGCACGAAAGAATGTTGTATACAAAAGTTACATGGTTTAAAAGGGTACACTATGTAGTGCGTTAATTTTTTTTATAGGTGGAGGAGTTTCGGAGATTTGAAGGTCAACTTTGTTTTTTTAAACAGAACACTATATTTTTTATACCAAAATATGGTAGAGTATCGAATTGTAAGTGAAAAAGTATTGACCGTTATTAGCCCTAAACCTAATAGCTAACGAGTAATTTCACTTTATTACTTGAATATTTTCTTCACGTAATATCAAATCGGAGATTCAACCTTATATCACTGATATAACGCTTATATCACGTGCAACGCATATTTTGGAAGTTATAACGGTGCACACGTTTCGTGGACCATCCTGTATAGTACTTATCTGTTTGCCAAGTTTTTCTATATTCTCATATTTGACCGGGAGTGGAATTTACACGTTTCATACGTCAGCCGAATCACTTTTGTTGCTATCGCCGGAGGTTTATTTAGAGCGTTTTTGCGACGCGTATCGAGCTGGTTCAGGAATATGCGTGAACACGTACGCGTATAATTCCGTACCGTTGTGTACGAGCAAATAGTTTCCTCCTGTGTGTTCCCAACCTGTGTTTCCCTCGAATTAGAGCCAGCCGAGCGTTTTTACGGGAGAGGGAAGAAGCTGACGATGAGTGAAATTGAACAACGTGCAAACATAAAACCCCGCTAATAAAATACGTTCAACGACCTTAAAAGGTAATCGACACAGGTTTGTATTAATTAACGGGAATATTTGCGAGCGTAAACCGGCCCCTGTTGCAATACCGCGGTACAACACGTTGGCACAAAAATGAATGAATAGAGCATAGCCGGGGCAATGTAAATAGCATTTGCAAATGGAACGAAATAAGGCTTGCTTTACCGAGCAACTTCACGAATTTCCCGTTGTTGCGTACAGAGGAACCGTTAGCGCTGAGCTGACAACAAACTTTAAACACGGTTCACCGTTTGCAAGCTCCAAATACTGGTAGGCACCACGCGAAAACTATTTATTCAATGCACACCGTATGCGTGGTATCGTATCTTCCGTTAAAATTATACCGTAGAAACAGAACCGAACGAGAATAAATAATTCGGGAAATTAAGACGTGTCAAAGGGGTAGATTACCCTGGGACGTTTAAAAATAGGTAAAATTTGAGGAATTCTTTCACTAAAAGAAAAGTTTCAATTTTTTCGAAAGATACAAACGCAACGTTCGACGTTTTTTTTTCAATTTTCAAAAAGTAACAATGTTTCGAAATGGAGGAGAAAATAAAATTCCGCTGGTATTTAAAAAAAAAAAGGTCTAACATTGAAAAATGGAAAAACACGAAAACATCCATCTCGAATATCGATAGAGGAGAGCGATCGAATTTCCGATAGCCATCCATCTTTAACCGTAACCAACGATGAACTTTCGAGAGAACTTTCGGTCCGACGAATACTCTAACGATTCCCATCATCCTACAATCTCGACACGTATAGAGGGAACGCGATATACGTATCCAATCACAGGTGACAATATTCGAAAAGTATTTTCGAACGTACGTGACAAAAAAGAAAGACACTAGAGAAGGCTGTTACGCATCGCGGGGTTCTTCATTTATTCAAGAAGACACGTAAGAGTTGTCGAAAGCGGCCTTGTTCTACCTGCATTAACTGCGAAAGCAGCGGTGAAGGGTCGCCATTTCAGAAGGCACGTAATGAATGCCGGCGTAATGAACCGTGTTTACTCCCCCATATATACGGTCCACGAGTGTATGCAACACGGTTGTTTTCGGGGTTGGCCCTTTGTTTCATCCTTCTGGTGTACATTGTGTCGTCCCTTCGGACCTTTCTCCCTCCCTGTCTCTCCCCCTCGGTTTCGAACCGTTAACCACGAGATATGACAATTTCACGCTGATCATACAAAATCCTGCGTGTTATCCGTTCTCACCTGGTACGATATTCGATAATTTTTCATTCGTTCGGCGCCAAGCTTTTAATGGAGCGCACAGTTTAAACGTTAGCGTCCGATTATCTGTGGGGGGTGGCGGCGTTCAACGGTTGAAAACGAACCGATGCTAAATAATTTAGATCCAGTTACGCGGTCAGTAAGCGAAACTCTCTCGTTCTATGAACTGTCCTCTCGGTACCGATCATTATTGGCCCGTTTCATTCGTAATGACGGGCTCGCACGCGTATTTTGCGTACACACGGATGCGGCTACTGATGGCCACTTTCACTCGCGTCCTCCACTTCCGGACACGACACGCGCGTATATATGTATATACGTCTACATAGGACATATATAACACGCGAGTGGGAATTATTCATCGAAACGGCGGAAATTAATTATCAGCGCAACAACGGTAACTGAAGCTTTAACGATGTAGTAATTACACGCTGGCTGGCTCCCGGCGGCAACGAGGGAACACGTGAGCCCTCGTGTTTGCGATCGTTTAATATTTCGCGGATTTGTATTAGCCACGCGATAGATATTGTACATAGATTGCGCGTTTTATAAATAGTCGCGCTTACGCTACCTATGCCCTACAATATTACACGTACCACCTATGTTCTAGATTACAGCTCTCCCCGTGTAGTAGACCCGGTTTATTTTTAGGCAGAGGGAGGAGAGGGGAAAAAAACGAAGGGAAAGAAAGAAAATCGCGATGCGAAACGGGCTATCGTAAAGTCGGGCAAAAATGCACCGCGAGTTTCCATAAGTACGACACGAAAGCAGAACGCGCTAGGTTATACCGTTGTGTTACACATATTTATAGCTGGACAGAACATTGTTTTACCGTATGTACGTACAACGAGCACGACTGTCGCCAGCCACGGGCTACTGGCCTACGTATTTTTATCTTCGACAGATATTCCTGGATGATAAGTGGACGATAATAACGGTGTACAGGCCATTTTTTACCACGGCCTAGGCGATATAATCGCCTCTCGCCGAAAGAGGAATGCGTTAAAAATGGAAATGGACGATCGATGCGTACGTATGTATACGTATGTATGTATATGTTAAATCAAACGTGTGAAAAAAAATTTCTCTTTGTGGAGGAATTAACAATAGTTAGCGAGTGAAATTCGGTGGAAATAACTCTGTGAATTATTGCATCTACACACACACACACGGCTGTGTACGAGTACATCGCAGCTTTTCTATATATTAAACAATTTTTTACGTCGGGGGGAGAATTTATCCGTGTAACATATTATTATGATAAAAAAGAAAAAAGAAGGAAAATGTTGCTACAGGTTGGAATAAAATGTAAGATAAAAGTGAACGAAGAGGGGAAATATTTGCGAGAGTTCGATGTACTTTTATATTTAAATCATTGTTCTATACGTTCGATATTCTTGGCTGTCTTCAATTATAGGGGCATTAGCTTACGCTGAAAGCGATTTTCATCGTTGAAATTCCTCCTCCACCTCCTCCTACGTGTATTTTTCCGAGCAATTTTAGCACGTGTATCGATTAACGATAAGAGACGAAATCAGTGTCTGCGTTCTCACATCCGCGTCGTTCCTACCTCTCTATTTCTCCCTCGGCACCGCCGACTATTTTCCTCCATAAATTTGTTATGACCATCGCAATAGAACGGATCGATAAGACACATTCTGTCTGTGCGCGCCTCTGATGTGTCTTTTACCGTTACCCGTAGGCGGTGGAATAAATTTGAATCGCGTACACATGCGAACGGCTCGTTCTCTGATCTGATATCACTCGAAAAATCACATTTCCACCGCCGTTCCTTCCCGTACTCCTCTGGCCATCTGTGACGTAATAACGCCACCGTGGTAACATCGTCTCGTTTTATCATTGACCATTGAGGGCACGCAGAAGTGGCGGGGGTTTGTTAACCCCCCGAGCAAATCAAGAATATAATTCGGAGTAATTCGAGGAGAAGAAAGCTGGCGGAGATAACGCAAGTGTCCGGACGGATTTAAACGTTTTAATTAGAGGGTGAATTATGTTTCCATTTTACTCGCGGCACGGTCTGCACAATAACTATAAATATGGCCGCAGTTTTGCGCAGCTTAACGCCTCTCTCGCCGGCAGTACATCACGCTCGGCTATTAGGCGTTAGCGCGTGGCCGAGGCGTATGCATAAATGCAATAGCTGACTTTAAACTAGCGTGAAAGTTTACATCCGGCCCCCGTCGATTTTCCCGTGTATATCCTATAATACAAAACTGCGCAACGATTTTACCTTCTCGCCCGCTTTTCATCCACGGTTAGGTTACCTATATATCAATAAAGTTTACCAACGGCATGGCCGCCTTTCATTATACTTGCTGATTCCACCGCGCTGATAGCAGAGGTACATATCTTGAACGGATATGCCGAAAAGCAGCTGTTCTATACAGCGGTATACGTGCACATACGCGCACGCCACTCTCTCTTCTAACCTGGAACGGATCCCTTGGGGTAAATGGAACGTACGATGGGAATCAAAGACGATGAGAGAACGATGATCACAGTCGACGAAGCAACAGTTCGACGTTTAATCTAGCAAGAGCTAGAAGCGAAAAACGCGAGATCCAACGTTAGAGTGGGACGATCAAAGGGGACATTACGCGGCGCACTAAAGCGCAACTCGATGAGAAGAAGAGGAGGAGGGGTAGGAGGGGGGAGGAGAGGATGGGACGACAAACCGCGGCAGGGACATTTCCGGCTCGTTTCGGAGGTCGTCGAGAGAGACGGTAAAAGCGTAGGCATTATATGGATCGAGCTCCGAAGGCGACCAAAAAGCCGGTGATAATGGCATAGCGGAGTGACGGCGACTCAAAGACCGGGAGGAACAAAAAGAGAGGGGAAAAAAAGAGAAAGAGGAGAACGACGGTAGCTATTTAGCTAGCGGAGTCTAGTGAACGGAGTCGATGTATGAACCGACGGCGACGGTGGAAACCTGAGTTCACTTTCGAGCGCATAAGCGCTCCGCTCGCTCGTTCGTTCGGACTTGGTAGCGACGCGCGTACTACGGGGTAGTATTGTTTGGAAAGCAGCTCATCGCCAAGAGCCTCTCGTTAAATCTCCAAGAACTTTGTTCGCTCCGCTCTGCTCGAGATCAATACGACTCCTAGTTCAGCTACATATGTAGCTACATGACAAAAGTTCTGAACTTTTGACCCGACGACGACCATTGTATCACCGACACGCCGGTTCCTATTCCACCGCATTCTCCTATTTCCTTCTGTTCGCCCGCATTTCACACGCGTGCACACACGCACCACACCACAGGTGTGGACGGGGGTGGCATTACCACGTTTTGCATACGCCCCCGCGTATAATAATGCATGGCTGTTTTGAAAAGGTAATGCAATTCATAACGGTGCGCATAGCGATGCGTTCCGCTCGTGTTTCTCTCCCTCTCACTCTCTCGTCGCCGGGTGGAAATAATAATGCTTGCGAACGTTAATAATCATAAAAATGCTAATGTTAATGACCGGTCGCTTCGCAGGTTGGTAGCGGTCGTGATATTAATGGGGAACGACGTAGTGCATGGGGAAACAATAATAAGAATAATGAAAGCTGCCACGAGAGCAATGAACACGATAATAGGAGAAGTAGGTACGCCGCATCGAGGCGAAGCTTATGGGTATTGTGGTTGTAAGCGGTTGTCGGCCGTGTGAAATTGTTCAACGAGATCAGTTGAGATGAGAAAAAAAGGGAAGAAGACGGTGAAATCGTCCAGGCGGCAGTTTTCTTTTTTTCTTTTCTTTTTGATCTAATAAACTGAATTCTGTATCTACGGAAGGAGAACGATCAATCTTCCTCGGGCTTTCGCGCGGAATGGCATATTCGGGAGTCGACGCGTGTCTCGTTAAACGGTGTGGCAGGAAATAAAAACGTCACGGGCTGTTTTGATTAAACAGACGTCTATCGCGGCGGGAAGAACGAAACGCCGCGCCGGCCGTACGCTCTCGCCTCTGCATCATCGATGGACACACCGGGGCTTCATTTCTCTTCGTGACCGAATGCAATTTTCACTTGGACAAACGAACAGCCGCACGCCGGACAGTTTGCGCGAGAGCAAATATTTTTTGGTACGAAAGTGGTTTAGATTGTTTTTCGAATCACGGCTGTGGACAATCCTTTTTGCGCAAATATCGTTTCTCCAGCGAGAAATAAATCCCGCCTACGGCCGCCGGAAATGGATCGTTTCCGCGAGTGCCGCTTCCTTTTCTCGTCACGCGGTTCGCGATTTCACTGGATCGTGTATTCCTCTTTTTTCCCACTCTCTCTCTCTCCGCCTTCAGTCAGTCATAAATGAGAATCTCGAGGTAGGTATTTCTCTTTCAAAGAAACTTCCACCAACCCCCCGCCTCGCGGCGATGTTGATCGAAATGGCAGAAGGGAAAAGGAAGAGAGGAGGGACAGATCTTCAAAGAGGAACAATTCCAGCTATGGGTTGTCTACGATCGAGGGATCGAGTTTCCTTACGGCGGGCGTTGTAAAGAGGAAAGAAAAGGAAGTAATACGAGTCGGAGCACGGATAGAGCGGACTCTTTCAATGAGATACGTAATTTTATCGATCTTCGTGTCGTTAGTCGGTTCCCCGCGAGCAATACGCGCCGTCTGAGCGCCTCTTATGATTCCCTGACCCCGAACCGCTGGGACCGAACGGCGAAAGAAAAAAAAAAAAGAAAAAAAGTGTACTTCGGTAAAAAGATACGTTTTCTCCTGTGAAAGAAAGAAGGAGAGAAAAAAAAGGAGAAAAAGAGAGAAAAAAAAATAATTCTATTGATCCGGCAATACTCCCGACGGCGCTCTGTTTCACCGACGGATAAATCTAGCATTTAGCCTCGCGTACACCAGCGTATCTACAGGTGGAGGCGCCTGCGCGTCATCTACAGTTATTTGTAGATGTCACTAACACCTGCGTCACTAAGAGTATGCAGCTGTTTCTACGTATTCATCCCTCGCGCGCACTGGCTGCTGCACTGGCAGCCAGGAAAATTCTTCTATATCAATTCATCCTGGACCGTGATATCTCTCGTTTTATCTCCCCGCTTCCCTCTGTGTCTGTCTACTTTTTGCCGTTTCCCTCTTGCCTTCTACCGCCTTTTCGACGCTCGTGGTCCTATTTACGAATACTTCTCTCTTGCTTTTTCTTTCTTTCTTTTTTTGGTTAACCGCGGACTGCTAATAGGAGCGACTGCGTTGTGCGTCGTAACTGCCGGTTAGTCGAATCTAAATATGCTATACTGCGTGCAGGTTTCCGTTAAAGTTTTCCTCGTCGTACTTTCAATGTTACAACGTTGGGTTAACTGACGCGTGATTGAAACGTAATTACACGGTGGACGAGCTTGAGATCGTGATCGTCCTCTCTCACGTGTAGGTATGCGAGCGTTGCACGCTCGCATTGCTTCGTCGACGTTAAAGGTGATGTATCGTACGTATAATTTCAATACAGATTTATAACCGGATTTACCTGGAACCGGAAAGGCTCTTACGTCTAAAGTGCTCTCGTGCCATAAAGCTCGAGTCAATTACATTAAGGGGGTACGTACGACTTTAGATTTCTCGTGTTCCCCCTTGGTGAAAAAGTTTTACGATGCCTGCTAGGGTAAACATCAATCTTGTAAAGTGTAAATCATTCCCACTCACCCTGTGTAACTTGGTTCCGCCGAGGCTGCTTCGCAGTGACAATCTTCACGGCCACTTCCACAACCACCGTCGTCGCGACAACACTTTCCAAGTCTGTTTAGTCTGAGCAAAGTTCGCCGTACATCTTCGCGTCGGTTTCTACTAACGCGACTCCCGATCTATGAAAAACGATCCTGCCTGATAATACAGGGATCTTAACCGACAGTTGCCTCGTGTGAAGTTTTAAATTACGTTCAAACTACGTTCCAAAGTAGCGATCTCATGTTTTCATCTAGTTACCGACCACCGATCTAATCGATCAATCGCACCAGTCATCGCATCGATACGTAGATCGACGTGCGTTCTAACGAATCCGCGACCATGCGAATTGCATAAACAAGTACACGGAATGCGCGCGTGTGTCCTATGTATGCGCGTGCATTCGTCGATGGGGAGGTGTAGAGGTGAAACCTACCGACCGCAGTGATAGCTTGGGGTGTACTGAGCATGAGGAGAGGGTTGGAAAACGATGTGGAATCTAATCTAACCTTACCTAACGGAGTGGTAGTGGCGCAGCGTGCGCCCTACAGCGCGCCTGCGCGTCCGCAGCTTCGCTTAAACTTTTCCGGCAATTTAAGCAATTAGGAAGGAAAGCGGAAACGGGATTAACTAATGCGTTCGATTCTTATTGGATTGCCGTTAGTTTCGCGCGAAAGTGGCCCCAGCTGTCGAAAGAATCTCACGTGCACGGGGTTTCTTACGGGATTTGTAGACGGGATGAAGTTAAACGTTCCGTGGCCAATGGAGTCGAACTTTCACAGCTTTACCGGAACATTGGATAATCGGAAGTGTGGATAAGAGTGTATTAATGTTTCAACGAGATTAAATGTAGAATCCTATTATTTCACTTAACTTTTTTCATTAGGAATGAAACGATGAAAAATCGCCACGATAAAATACAAATGGATTTCAATTAAGAACGAACCAGGTATTCGATTTGCACTTCTAAATCACGAATAATCGGGACGAATAATTATCGAGGATTTATACGTTTTAATCGTTCAGTTCGTACATTTTCAGAGATGTACGAGTATAGAGAAGGTAGAGGTTACGAATTTTCTTATTTCAACGGAAGTCTGTAGTTTGAATGTAAAGTAAACGGTCTGATTAATTTTTGTTAAATTTTCGTTTTACTTGAAGGGTGAAAAATTGTCCGCGTTACCTTCGTATCTTTCTGTTCCATTCTCCGTCTGCCGGTATATCAGATACTTTTGCATGTACCAACAGTAGTATATTCGTAAATGAACGTAAATCAATAATATATGTAAACTAGCTAACGTGTTTAGACATTTCACAATCTTAAAGAACGTAGCTAATCTAGAAGGGCTGTACGCAACGACAAGTTTCATTTTCATTGCAAATCGTTTTCATTACGCAGCGTTATATTGCCTATCCACCAGATGGCACTTTCGTTCGCGAGTAACCGTCAGTCGTCAGTTATTCGCGTCTATCGATCGGTTCGTGAAAACGCGGGAATCCATTCCGCTCGTTATTCTCGATTTTTCCGTGATTTGTGCGTTTATTTTTACAGTAAAAGCTGTGAAAAGTGCGCGAAGTGTCTAAAGTGTGCAGTGATCTAGTGGTTTATATCGTGTGATAACGTGACAACTGCGAAATACGATTGTTGGACGTTTGTCAATCTTTCCGGTCCATTGAGCAATCTGATTGAAATTCGTCTAGTTGGTGAGTCTTTTATATTTTTATTCTCCGATAATCACCGAGCTGTCGATAGCTTGTCTGTTTGCGTTATTCACTAACGCAGCTCTTATATTCGACGTCGTAAAATAAATCAACGAACAATCGACAAATCAATCGTCGAATTCGTAATAGCGCGCAATTCAAAATGGCGGGATCGTTAGAACGAGAATGAAATGTATTCTTTTTCCTTCTTTATTATCATACGCTTTCGTTGTTATAATTATGATAGAGCAAGATTACACAATGGTACTCTACAAGTTAGTTTTGATAAGAAATAAGGGCGTAAAAGGCTCGCCGTTCTTCCATTTCCGTAAAAACTGGAAGACGTAGAGGTGTATCGAAATTACTATCGGTTAATCGGTAATAGAACGTACGAAATGTACAAAGCAGGCACCATTCAGCGGCGCCCAGTTACCTACCGTCTTACGACTACATGATTCTTTACCTTTTAAGGTTAATAATGTAATTCGAACGTTAAACGGAGAACACGTTTGCATCGCGACGTCGCGTAGTTGTCGTGAAACGCCACGAGGTCGCGCTGCATGCGGTTTAAGGCGATTTAAGTACTATTAACGGTTTTGGCACTTAGATTTACCATTGCACTAATTATAAAATGGTACCGCTTACTTCTTGAATAGGGAAATGCACCTCTTTTCTTTTCTCTTTTTGTCGCATACATTCGTATCACGATTATTTCGTGACAATATATAGGCAGTTGATTTTTGTATTTCGCGCCACGACTATTTTATTCGGTATAAACGTTCTGCGCATGTGCATAATCTCTCTTCTCTTACAAACGACGATTCTTTCGATCGAAAAATTTCTCATCCAAATTAATTTGCCACAATGTTATCAGAGGTATATAAAGGGTATAATTTCGGATATAAAATTTATACGCGTTCAAATGGATAAATCCGTCGTTTTCTAGAATTTCCCGACGAAGACATTTTTTTTACCCGTTTCGATTTGGAGCCCATTACGTATACGGTGATCGTAATACGTTTTTAATAATAGTTCGTAAATATATTCATTTGCGCTCGTGAAGTCAATAAACTATGCCTAAACTCTACAAAAAACGTTCACTGCACTACGCATCCTCTCTACTTTGGCATATCGACCGAAATAAAATATCGTCTATCGCTCATAGACGCGCATCGCCCCCTCGCGGCGACAATGCTATTAGAAATGAACGAATGGTGCACGTTAAATTACCACTTTTACTTTTTCTCGTTTTTTCTTCTTCTTTTTACTACACATATTCCAACGAAGACTCGAGCTTTCCCTTAGGTTGTGTGATCATCGCTATCCTAAAAAGTCGACGCTACGAAAATTGGCAGTATTTTTTGGAATTCGCATAAAATATCATCATCTCTCTCTTCTCTCTTTTCTCTTCCATTCTCTCTCTCTCTCTCTCGCGTTCGAGTAAGGCAAATTTGTCAGGCTATCGTACGTGAAGTATTTTGCTTTAGCAAATCGCTTTAGCTCGGTAAAGCGATGCAAAACTGCCAACGTTACGACGCTGTGGTACCCGTTTAATAGTTCAATTTTTCTCTCTACTGTGTTAAATTAAAAGAAGAAAGGAGGCAATGGAGGCACGATGAAATCTGACATGCGCACGATGCACGATTGTTTCTCTTAACAGCAATTTTTCGATTTTTAATACGAACGATGATAAGTGCATGCATGCGACAATGCAACGAGACACTCAGACACGTGTTTGTTACGTAAACTTCACGCGAACAATTTTCACCGCTTCGATATATATATATATATATACACACTACCAGCGAAAAGTTTGGAATCACCGAGCATTGCAATTTACACAAAAATTTCCAGAAAAAAGTCAGCGACTTTGAGAATTTTTTATCGTTGGAATTAATTGATAAAAAATTGGTAAAAAATTAGCAGCAGATTTAATATGGATGAAAAGTGGGAGGTGATTCCAAACTTTTGGCCGGTAGTGTATCTGACCGGATTATCGTGTGTGTTGGACAACTATGAATAAGCTAAAACGAATACTCTCTGTGGAATGGCTGGCTTCGTGTTTATCATTTTTTATACAACGCTATCGAACGTTCAGCCGCGTAAGCATATAGATGATCAATGGAAGCACAGTGCTCGAGAATCAACCGAATGATTATCGATGTTTAAGCATTAAACGTGAACGATCCGTGTGTCTATATCGTAAAACCTGTCGGGTAAAAATATAACATGTGATACACGTACGATATATACGTTTTCATGAACGTAACAAATGTTTATTTATTGGTAACTGTTACAATTCTCTCTCTATATGCTTAAGCAGTACAGCGCGTTCCAATTCCCGTTTCTTTCTTTGTCTCCTATTTAACATACTCTACCACGACGCAAGCATACGAGATACCGAGAAGTTCATCGTGCTAAAGTTCAACCTTTCACTGTACGAAACGATCGTTCCACGTTTCCTCCCTTTTCTTTTTCAACGAGGAGGAAAGAAAACGTTTAAACGAGTCCAAAGTCGGTGTGAACGGTAACGTCGCAGTTGTTCGGCTTCTCTGCGGCGGCCATGTTTACCTCGACCAAAGTGTCCACGCTGTTGATAGGACAACCCTTTAGTATCTTCTGCGCCGCCAAGCTGGTAAATTGGACCTGCATGTCGCTCAGGCTCGGATACGTGTAGAGATCACCTCGGCTCACCGTTTTCTCCAGATTCGGTTCGGAGCCTTGCGGCGCTCTCTGTTGCTTCGTAGTCTCCAGATTCTCTATGTAGACGTTGTTGAACGAACCGCCGAAACCGTCGAACGATTTCGTAGGGGACGGCGGATTCGAGGCGATGTTGTTCTTAGAGCCTGGACGGAGAAGATTTCTGTAGCTGAGCGCGTCTTTCGACAACGACAGGCTCAGTTTACGCGAGTTGTTCATCGCGTCGTTCGTGTTCTTCATGCTGGACAACGCCGACGGCGGATGATCGTTTACCAAGGAATTTTTGTCGATGTTGTTGGTAGAACCGTCGATCAGGTGTGCCTGGCTGTTGTTCAAACGATTGGTCAACTTCAGTTTGTTAGGCATTTCCTCCTCGGCTTTCGGCTTGTTCTCTTTGTCGGACTCCGACAAGAGGAGGCTTGGTTTCGATTCTTTGGAAGCGTAGAGGGACGACGGACGCTCGATTTTACTCGACTTGTTCAACTTCTCCTCGTCGAGCTTCGATTTGAACAGCTTCTCCTCGTCTATCTTGCTCTTGTACAGTTTCTCGCTGATCAATTCACGGTCCTGCTTCTCCTTGCAATCCATCGTCTCCTTCTCGGCCACTTTGGTCTTCACCGTGCCGTTCTCGAACGTGATTACGGATCTCATGGGAGAGTTGTTCTGCTGCACGTAGATCTTTGTGCCCGGCGAGCCGGAGATGGTGGTCGTGCTGGTCGCATTCGAGGCCAGTGTCACGCTGTTCTGAATCGCTCGTTGCTCCTGCGACGGGCTCACCGGCGTTAAATTCGTGGACACCTGCAGAGTGATCGAGTTCTGGGCCTCTTGAAGGGGAGTCAGCGACCCTTGTTGGACCACTTTCAACGGGGAGGACTTCGCTGGCAGCGTGGACGTTTTCAACGGCGAGGAGGAGAGTTTACCGCTCGAGATCGACTTTCCACTGGAGTGGGACGAGTGGCCAGACGATGTTTTTTGCAAAATCTGAAACATTCGGGCAGGTCGTTACGAAAGGAACGGTGAAACGACGAGGCATTTGTTAACCCTTCGACAGTTTAGCCCGTGTCAGACTTTGGCGAAGCGTGAAATACTTCACTTCTAGCTCGAGAGATATTGTCGTAACTATTCCGACGTATCCCTTCTTTTTAAAATAATCCTGTAAAGTATCCGTTCTTTTTACCGCAATTCCTAATTTTGTTAGACTGCCAAAGGGTTAGGCACTAACCGTATCACGTCCAGTTTTAAAATTTGATATACATACAATTTTTTTTATTACTATCTAAAGCATGGGTGTCCAACCTTTCGATATATGTAGTACAGTTAATTGTACATAAGTAACAAAGCCTCCTTTATTTTTTAATATACTTAATTATAATGCAATTGAGTCGTGAAAAATATCTGTTGGGAAAATGGGTTTTAAATAAGCTGCTTCAGCTTTTAATACTTGGATATTTTATTTCTCTACGCATCGGAAGTGACTTCCTTCTGTTATTAATGTCTTGAGAGGACTGACTCTACCGGGCACGCAGAGCCGGTGACACGAGGCACCGATGACCTCATCTAACAGAGGTGCGTTATCACCTTACTCACATAAACAGTGTGAGAAACGGTATCTCCGTTCATCAAGAGAATAAGAGATTAGTTTTTGTTTGGTTTACTAGTGAAACTAACAATATCGATTAAAAGTTTACGATATTGTGCTGTTCAGGGCTGCATCTAAACGCTACTTTCTGCCCTGTTTCCTTTGCTAAATCGACGTATTCCTTTCAAAAAGATATGTTTATTCCGTAACCGGTCGTTTGACCAGCCACGACAACAGTAGCGATTAGCGTTAAACACGCTGTATACTCGAAATTCTTTACCTTATGCTGAGGCGATCCGTTCGATTTGGTACCGCTGCCAGTGGAGTCGTGACTCGGTCTTCTCGAGTTGGACTGTCTCGTGCTGGATCTGCCGAGCGTGGCCGTCTTCGCCGGGCTCGCGTTCGTCGTCCTAACGGAACCGGAACTTCCACCGCTTCGACTCGGCGACGAGTTGGTCGAGTTCTTCCCGTTCTGCGTCTGATTACGCGCCTGGTACGATTCCTGGTTGGTGCTCGGTGGCAGAACAGAGGCTCTGGACGTGCATCTGCTGAGGCTCGAGCACTTGGAACGGGGCAGCGTGGAGCACGGTGATCGATGTCGCCTGGAACTCCTCGGCGTCGAGTTCGCCAATAAACTAGAAGAATCACCGCTCGCCTGGCGTCGATGTCGCCTAGGCAGCGTGGCTGATCTCACGGAGCTCGAATCGTCCCATACTTGGAAACTGGCCTGCGACTGATCTAGACCCTCCATCATCTGAAAACGTTACTCCGTTGTCAAGCTGAACTGCACCGCTCGATTTACACTCCGACGCACGACTTCCGTCTGTGTGGCAATGAAAAACAACCGGGATGCTTCTCTCTTTCGTAGGAAAAAGCATCGTTTCGAACATCGAAGGAGGGGAGAGAGAACTTACCGAAGGGCTAGCGGCTCTCGTTTGCGTGGCCACGCTGTGCAAGTGGACAACACGCGGGTTGAACCACTCGGTAGGAGGATACTGTGCGCTGAACGTGCCCATCAACGGTGCACCCTTCCTTCGTGTGCTGCGTCGGAACAGCCTGGAGAGTAGACCTATTTTCTCTGAAAAAATCCCGGAGAAACCTTGAGGAAAATACGAGGAACCAGTGTTGCTGATTTCGTGATGAGAGATCGGGGGAATCGAGGAAGGGCTTGCCAGCTAAGGGTGACTAAGAAGCGTCGCTTTGCTTGCTCAGTTACTGGAGAGATTGTTCAGCGTTTCTGGGTTCGCGGATTAGGAGTCAAAGGATGCCGAGAAGTGTAAAAGCAGAAAAACTTGCTCGTCGAGGATTTTTATCGAAAGAGATAGAAGAAACGTATAGATAGAGATGTGTGTGTGTGTGTGTGTGTGTGTGATGTGGAGAAAGCATGGTTAATTGATCCGCTTGTCGTGGATGAAGATATTTAGCGTTAGGATGAAAGTTGTAACACCGGTGCTCATCCCAAAGGCGATAAGTATATTCTTGTTTCTTATCTGTACGGTTGAACAGGTTTCGTCTCTTTTCGTACGACACGTCGCGATTCGAAACGTGCCAAGTGGAAACTCTTGTGCACAAACAGGCGAGTTGATGTATATTTCTTTTTACGAAGCGGGACGGTTCGTTTTATCGAAGGTGAACGGTTCGAAGCGTGAGCATCGAGAAGGAAAGCTACAACATGTCCCGATTAAGCGATCACCCATCACCAAAACAATCCCTTCCCCGACTCGACTCACTGGTTGGGCTATGAGGCGCGCTGTCGGTGCTCGCGTATTCAGCGCTCGAAGAAGTGTCGCTTCTCTCCGGCCTCCGTGGCAAGGACCGCGAACTTCCGCTTCTGTGCAAGCGTCTCGCGGATCCCCAGAGCCGCAGGGAGTGTCGCCTCTCGAGGCGGCCCGGCATCGATCGGCATCTCGCGAACAGAACCTTGTCGTTCGGATTACCTGGAAAATACAAAGTTAAACACTTCTAGGTGCCTTCTTCGAAAAGTGTGTCTTAACCTATTAACTCTGGTGTATTCAGTTGGTACTTCGATCTCTTCGGTATAGAACATTACTTCAAACACCTTAGACTTTCAACTGGTCAGCTGGAAATTAGATCTGCGATCGGTGTTCGGTGATTAACAGTATCCGTGTCGCTTAATCTTTGGAAAAGGTAGCTGTAATTGTGAAATCTTGGGGTCGAACTTGCAGGAGACATGATTCGTGCCTTGAAAATTAGTCGGTGGATATTCGTATCCTCGTCTAACGTCGCTCTAAATACGAAGAAAAACGAGCACACGTAGCGCTACGTGTTCGATCCCGAAATCGATCGACGAAAACCTCGATTCACGTCACAGTTCGGCGCGACGCGTCGCGTTCTCAAAAAGTGGAACACCCTCGGCGTCCCTGATTTTCATCGTGTGGTACACAGAGAAGCCCAGAGGCGGTGGCGACGACCGTGTGGCTGTGGGTTAGCAGCGTGAGAATCACTCGAGAAACGAGTCGGAGAAAAGTAGGAAGATTATATACGTGGCCCCCCACGTGATCTCGACAGCGTGTGTAACGGTAGACAATGTCGTGACCAATAGCTAATATATCGGCTGTGCTAAACGCTTTCCAGGGATCGTCGAGTTGGCACGGACACTGTTCTCCCTGGCTGCTGCTGCTGGTTATGTGTACCGATGCTCGCGTGTACGTCCTCCATACAACGTCGTTTTGCCGCTGATGTATGGAGGAGAGACGGAGGAGGCATGCAAGGTGCCGAAGGTGTTTCCGTGTCAATGCGCCAGAAAATTCCAGTTTTGACCATCCTTCCGTACGTTAAACCCACCGCGATTCCTACCGTCGACAAACAGAACAGCGTCTGCTTTTAGGCTAAGATGATCATCGCATGCCAGGGGATTCATGCTACACATACACGCGGTTAGGTGATCAATAACGTCTGTAACAATGTAGCATCGTTGCACGCGAACGCTTCTAAACGGTTAGGTGAATACTGCGGTTCTGCAGACGCTGATAGCGCGTTGCAGTATATGGAATACGGTGTATTATCGTACAATGCTGAAATCACCGGTTGACCATAGTTGGCTCACGCGCGATATCCTGATAAAGAAAATCTCGAGCTTTTCTTTATATAGACTCGTACCCCCTTCTTCCTCCTTCTGTTTCACCACCGGCTGATATGTGTTTCCATTTGAATTTCTAATTTTAAAGCGTGCACGAGCATAAATTCGCGCACGTAGACGACAGCCACTCTAAATACCCGAGATAAGGGTGTGTGTGCAATTTAAATCGAATCGCGACCATTTTTCCATACGATCCCCGCCACGAGGAATGCAACGCCGTCTTCCGGCGCGCGAGTGCCTGCGTGGCTGCCAAGGACGACAACAACATAAACGCACCGGACTCGTCCATCGAGTTCAGAGAAAAAGGTCTCTCCCGGTGCAACAGGCGAACGCAGCGCTCTCCTCTTGGACACTCGGAACGATTCCCGAACACGTGCCGAACGGGTTTGCCCGGATCGACAAGTCTGTCTGCCCGGGCGGGTTGTTCCTCTTGCCCGCCGCGGCCGCTCCACTTCGTTTCCTGACTGATTCTTTTACATGCGAACGCGACGAAAGCGAGCTCGACACTCTATTTCTCTCGTGACGTTCGTTTCTTCGTTCTTTAACGATGTCTTTCGTTTGTTATCGCAGCTCGTGATTATTGGGTCACACTCGTTGTCGACAAAGGCTGTTTCTGAATTAAGTGGTTAAACTGTACCAACGTGGCTCGTTAATTTCTATTGTGGTGAAATTCCGATAGGGAATACCTAATGCTGTTCGTGTATAGTCGATAAAGTGAGGTCAGAAGAATTAGATAGCGACGTTGGTTGGTGCAGTGATGGCAGTTTTTCGATTTGGACTGAATCTAAGCTGAGGCTACTAATCTAAGTTGTCAATTCTCTTCGCAGAAACTTTGACCAATCTCGCTATACATGGAATGCTATTTAGTAGGTTTCTCCTAATCGAGGAATACATCATATCTACGTTAACAGTGATCTCCACCTAGATCTCTCTGCAACCTGAACACTTCTCCCTAATTCTCTCCCACCGGTCTATACCAAAGTTGCAATATTCTAGAAAGGTCCACAAGTAGTTTCTCAATGTAATCAAAAAGTTCGACAATTAAACTTCACAGACAACGTAGAAACGTGGTGAAGTTCGGAAGCTTAAAAGACCCTACCTCCGCAAATAACGTCAGCGAGATTCGTCTGCACGGCCTGATGCGTCACGTCGCCGTCTCTCAGGGTTAACATCTCGCCGTGTACGAGCGCCATTGCCTCATCGTTGGACATGAGCATACTGCCCTGACCTCTGGTTCCGTTCACCTCTCTGGAGCATCTCCTCGAGTTGCTGGAGTCGCGCCTCAGCCTCCTGGTCTCCGGCGTGACGACGAAGTAGCCTTGGGACGTGTGATAGATCTTTCGTTCTTGCATCAACTTGGCTAGCGCGTCGTAGACCAATTCGCGACTCGGTCTTTGCATCGCTGGAAAAGCGTTCCTCAGCGCTGATCTGAGCGTGTCCAACGTCGCGGCTTGCCTCTGAGAAGTCAATTCCAAAATTGCCCAACAAAGAGCTTCCGGTAGCGGCGTGAATTGTCCTTGGGCCACCGGGGCAACCAGGCAGTCCTCGATGTCGCCTGCAACAGGAAGGAAAATTGCAATTAGACATCCGGTAGTTATTACCAGGGACAAAATGGAACTCCATCGACCGACCCAATTCCTATGAAATTGATCGTAATCGTCGATCATTTTTCCACCATTTCATTGAAATATCGCGTTGCTCGTCAAGATCAAATTGTCCAGATAGAGGTAGGCAGGTTCCTTTCGTTTTTTCATCGGTTAGATTTGTTTGGAAAAACAGAAGACAAAAACGTGCGACGTCGTAAAAATGGCGAACGCTGGCTAAAAACGGGATCAAGGCTGGTTTTATTACCGCGAGACAACCCGACGGATGTAAAACTTCTTAGAAACACTTGTGCCTGATAAGATCAAACTTTACGACGTGCCTATCCGATTTTTCAAACTTCTCTCGGCGTTCATTGAAATTCCTCGTGTATATTCGCCGGGCACAGAATGAAACCGTAATAGCGAAGTTGCCTGCCAGGAACTGGCGACATTCAGGCAACTGCCTTTCTAGCTTCAACCGAGACGGTTCGGGTTTCCATGCGTGTACACACCGGTTACAAATCGAGTGTTTCATTAACGAACACATGTAACCTTCTCTGGTCGTCTAACGTAATATTTAAGGCATTCCATCCGATCACCGTTTCGATCGCGTTTCCTTTCTCGGATAAAACATGCAAACAGACTTTCTTTTTACCTGTAGCTCGGAAAAGCTTGGAAAAAAAGAGACGTTCACGGAAATTTCAATATCCATGGAAATACGCGGTGTATTTCAATTTCAAATCTCGTTTGATCCTGTTTTCAATATCATCAACGAGTAGCAGGAGGGAGAGAGAGAGGAGCGGGCGAAATTCAGCTCTTTGTGCCGGATTATTCCGTATAATCCGAAGATAGTTATAGCGGTGGAATATTCACGGGACGGGGGTTTTAGCGCGGCGAAACATATCGAATTTCATTTTCAACAGAGAGAACAGGGAGGGATATTAAGTTCGTGACAAGTACATCGGTGCAAATCCGTGGTCACATTCGCATGCGAGTCGACGCGCGCCTGTAAATCCACTTACGGAATATTCCCGCGGATTTTGTCGTGAGTGGCATCGTGCGATCGCGCGCGTAGGTATGCCGCCATCGCGAAAGCGGAAAATTTAAACGATCGCGAGGCTAGAATGGTTCGTGACACGCGCTTTATCGTGATCGATTCGGTCATTCGATGGTGTTCGTTGAATTACGTTTAGCGAACATTTGCAAATTTCAACCTTTTTTTAAATGTTCGTTAAATTGCTCGTCGTGTGTCGGCACTTAGCGACTATCGATTATTTTACGGTAATTTGCATTTGTTTATAGTATCCTCCTGACAGTAGTAGGGGAAAGTTGGACAAAATGCGGTACTTAGGATTTGATAGCTTGCCCTGGGCCATATTTACAAATGAATTAGGCCTAATAATGAATTTTCGTCTAATCGTATTGAGAATGATATAGTCGGGGCCACGATATAGCGAGGTCGTAAAATCGGTTAGGCGTCAAAGTAAACATGTTTTAGCTGCCGGGACCACGAAATTGACAGAAATACGAGCAGATAAGTACTTGAAACCATCGTCAGGACCGTACAAAGAATTCTTGTATCCAGCGAAAGTCGAACTGATTCTAATATATTTACTGAAAATTGAGTTCAGCTAGGACAATTTAGGGTTTTTTTCTTCTGGGAAAAGCCGCTTTTGGAAGTACGGTTACAAGTAAAGGTCTTATTGAGGTCTTTAACATCTTCATTTACCTGCTCGTGTTATATGCAGATAGAAAATGCAAAAGGATTGTGTAGCTTTAATATTAACATATTTTCCATTTGTAAATGAAATACCATTTTCTACTTGAAGTACCAAATCATATGCTACCATTCGTTTATTGTTGGAACCCTCAAACAGACTGCAACACACGGCCTTGAGTGCCGCAACATCAATCGATGCCGATTCTTGAGAGTTTAATTTACGACCTCGCTATATCGTGGCCCCAACTATACATTGTACAGTGTACAATGATCAATGCACAATTTGCAAAATTAGTAAGGAAAGTTAAAATACCCTGCTTCGTCCAATTGGTGTGACAAATGGGATACTTACTAAATCAATGTAGAAATGTGTAATTTTTATTTTTAACGATTTGCACATAAATTACAGAGTATAAAAAAGATGGGAATTTATTACATCGTACATTGGTAAAAAAAGTGTTGGAAATTTAGGTGCTCTCTAATTTCTAAGCTCAATTGCAATTATTCACGCAACAACTTTTTTATACTCCGTTGGAAAACGTGGCAATCTCTTTTCGAAGGAAAAATTTCACCGAGAACTCTCGAAAGAACGTTGCAAAATTCCAGAATAAAGGGTATGGTAAATAAACGGGCGGGTATTGAGCGTAGTTGCGCTTTCAATTTTCGCGACATGCCTTCGCGAGATGCATTCCCACGTGCAACGCCAGAAACGGTCAATTTCTCGACCGGGAGCAGAGAACAAATCTGCTCCGGAGGCAACAATACCTAATTAGCGTTTTAAACGTCAGTCAAGCGGCGTTCCGCGAACGCGCGCGCGGAAAGGTAATTAAGGCGGTATGGAAACTGAAAATTTCGAGTGGCGTAAAGTAGAGTGTGGCCTCTGATCCTCTTTCATCCGAGCGAAATTTACGCGTTTGTTCTTCCGGTCACGTTTTAAGGTGACTTTCCAAGACTCCCCTCTTCTATTCTCATACATTTGGCGGCCCACGCCCACGAAAAGGCTATGGATTATTCTCTAAGCTCACGAGCGTCGAAGGACCCCGAAATTCCCGTGGTATCCGTGTGCCTCGTGACACGAATATTCAACGCTGTCAGAAGCACAATGTGTAGCAAACGGTCTGTCATCAAGAGACCAACCAATATCCTTTGCGGTGGTATTTTTCTTCCAGGCACGTGTAGAAAGAAATAGTCGCGTTTAATTCGGTCGCTCTCGCGTGGAGATTTTTCGTGCAACTCAATTTCAGGTGCAATTGTGTTACACATTGAGCACCGCTAATGATGTTTCAGGGCAATTAAAGGGAAATGAGGTAGGTAAAGTGGTAAGGGTTCGCTCTAGAAGCTGGATTCCAGCCAAATTATCCGTGATTTAGCTTAAAATCTAGCTGGAGCATTCTCCTGTGCTCCGAGAATATGCACGAAGCATATTCTTTCGACGTACCTACGCGTAATCGTTTCGCTTAGTCGGTTATATATTTTCTCGTATCACCGCGTGGAAAAGTTCTCCCGTCGGCAGAATTTCATTCCCAATGGTAATCAAAGTGTGTTAGAACGTAGAAACAACATTCGTATGAATGCATCGACACTGCGTTTCGACGAATTAACCGACGTAGGCAGACAGATGGCACATGAATTCGCCACGCTGCGAGATAACGTTCTATGAAAGTTAACCGTCGTTTTTGCGCGCCGCACATCAGAGACCCCGTGACACAATAAAAGTCAGACGAGTATAACTTTTACACCGTAGCCCTCGCTTTGAGCCACGACGGACCTACGAAATGCATTTTAATATATTTCACCCTCGGTCCCTGTGTGCCATATGCGAATTGCGAAGGGTAGTTCGGGCCTCTGAGAGACGATATTGCGCTGACCCTTGACTGATATCGATCGTGCCAGGTCGAGATTGAAAAATGTCCGGTAAATGTTGCACGAGGCAGTTTCGCGGGAACGTTGAAATATTATCACCGAAGAGGGAGAAAAGTTTTTCTACAAAAAAAAAAACAAAAAGAAATTGAAACATTTTTCTCTCTCTCTGCGTAGACAAATCCATTTAGCTCGTCTCTCTTAATTAACAGATTAAGCTTCGCAATTTATCGAACAGCATTCCATTCTTGACCGTGTAATCCTTATAATTATCCCCATCTTTCCTGTACGATTTAAAACGCCCGGGGAGTCCTCGTTCCGCTAATTAAAGAGACACGTCCAACAGCTGTCGCCATGTGATAACCTCCTAGCGTGCAATATTCCGAAGGCCACGCTTGTTTTGTTATTTTTAATTCGATTAAACACCCGACGGTAAACAATGCGAATCTACCCCTCCGGAACAGGTCGAGATCACGGATCGCTGCCATTTCCGTGCACGTTGTTCCAATGACGATCTCACTTGTTCTAGTCCCCCAGTTGCTTCGAATCCTCGTGTCCGCGGACAGCAAGAGAGCTGCGGCAGGCAGGAAGGAACAGAGCTGTAATTACGTGTCCAGCTACGCCAGAAAACTCCTACTTGACTAGTCTTGTTAAAGGGTTGTCGTAAATAGGCCGGACAATCTCTGTATGGAATTACCAGCGAGACCTCGGTGCACTTCTTGCAGAGGCTACCGCAGTTTTCTCGTTTGTTCATTAACGAGCGCCGTGGCTAACGTTGTACTTACCTATCCTCTTTCGATGTATATACATATATATATACGTTCCCTCCAGAGAGTACACTCGCGCTTGAGAAAACCTGTTTGCATTCGAGAGTCTTTCTCACAGACGATTGTAACGTATCGGATAATATTAGATTTTCAATTTCTACCGGCATCCGCGACCAACATCGAACCTCCTAGTGGCGCCATTAAATCGCCTGTTGCGGAGTGTGTGCGTGAAACAGTGGAGCAAATTCAACTATCGTATTGCAATTCGTATTGGACGAGAGATATTAAACTGATAGATAGGGATAAACGGGAGAGATAGACAGGATTTTTCGGGAGATTGCTTCGTCTAGAGAAAAGTGTTCGGACGGAGAGCGTGAAAGTTTTGGGTGAACGAAGAGTGTGATCGTCCAAAAATTTCGGTGGACACGAATGTAAGCGTAGAGTGAAAGAATTGTAGAAAGGGTTAATTAGACACGTGCGGGAGAGTCGTAGAGAAAAGATTTCTTTTTATTTCTCGTGTTTTTTGTCTTCATTACGTGTCGTTCGCTTCACGGGCAACACACTGTGGCCTCGTACGACTGCTGTAGTAGCTGAATCGGCGATGATTACGATTCTTTCGCGACTT